TACCGATCGTCTTGAGATCCTCAGAAACAACGAACGTTTCTGTGATGTAATAGTCGAAGTAAAGGGTAAAGAGTTCAAAGCTCACAAAGCTGTTCTAGCTGCAGCAAGCCCGTTTTTTCTTACACTTCTAGAAAGTAACATGAGAGAAAGCAGCGAACACTTGATAAAGATAGAACTTGAGGACGCAACTGCGTCTATCGTGGAAGACGTTTTAAAGTACATTTACACTGGAAATGTTTCAGTCACTGAGGAAAGTGCTCACAATCTGATTGCAACGGCCGATTACCTTTTTTTACCAGGCTTAAAATCGTTGGCTTGTGATTTCTTAAAAGGGATCTTGGCAACAGAGAACTGTGTTTTTAATTATTACTTTGCTGAAAGATATCAGTGCGTGAATCTAAAGGAGGAATGCCGAGAGCTCATAAAATCAAATTTCAGTGCAGTTCTGGAAACAGATGATTTCCTAAACCTTGATGCAAAGCAAGTGTTGGAGTGGGTGTCTAGTGATGACATCACCGTCAGCGCGGAGGAAGAAGTTTTCAGGGGAATCGTGAAGTGGGTACATCAAAGCAAAAGTGAAAGAGAAAAAGAATTTTCAGATTTGTTGCAACACGTCCGTCTTAGTTCTTTGGACCACAATTTTCTGTTCAATAAACTTGTGAAGGAAGAACTAATAACAACTAACAAAGACTGTCTGAACTTTGTGTTAAGTTCCTTGGAGCCAATTTTCAACCCTACACTTCAAAGAAGCATCAGACCAAGGGTATGTCTACAAACACAGACAAATGGAATTTTTGTTTTTGGTGGAAAAAAAGCCTTGTGTTATCTTCCCCATGAAAATATTTGGTATCAGTTACCGAACATGTTTATGGAACATCAGAACCATGCTGCCATGCAGTACAGAGATAAAGTTTACATCTTTAGTAACAAAAATGGTTCAGATTTTTACATACCTTCAACCAACACTTGGGGTGCAATTAAAACTCAGTATCCATGGTATGTTGACAAATTTTGTAACCTATTTATGTTAAATGAAGATATTACTTTGTATGCCTTAATAGAGGGCTACATTTCTTGCGCTAAAATTTTACTGTATGATCCTGCAAAAAGTGAATGGAAAGAAGTGATTGGATCTTTTAAAGTTCAACGCTATGGACTCTGTGGTGTGACAGATGGTTATCGCATTTATGCAATAGGGGGATCTGATAGTTGCTATAGGAAATCTGGAACAACTAAAGTTCTGAAGATTGATATAGAGAAAGGCAGCTGTGAAGAGGTTGCACCCATGAATATGGGAAGGTATGATGCTTTTGGAACAGCCATGAATGGTAAAATCTATGTAGCTGGTGGAAAGCAGAATTCTTCAGTGCTATTAAACACCTGTGAGATGTATGATCCAGCAACCAATGTGTGGCAGATAATGCCAAGTCTTGATGTACCACGTCACTCTTCAAGCATGGTGTACTTTCAGGGATCATTGTATGTCATTGGTGGAGTTAACAGTCATTCAAGGGAGTTGTCAGTGGAAATGTTTGACTCCAGTGCAAACAAATGGATGAAAAAATCAACCATACCCATAAAAAATGAAAATGGAGAGGAAAAAAAGAAAAACTGGCATTACAAAGCTTGTTCTGCAACAGTGCATAAAGATTTACTAAAGAATCAGAAGATGTCATAACCTTGTGACATTTAATGGCATTCTTAAGATTATCAATATTATTTTAAGAATTTAAGCTGTTTTGTATGCCCCTGGTTACCTCTGGTGGCTTAAAGAGAAAAACTAGCTGATGACCACTTGAAGAGATTTTACTCCATTACCAGTGCCCAACCAAAAATTACCAATACCTGTTATTGCACTTGGTCATTAATTCCTTGAATACAGACTGTAAGTCAGGCTGTACCTTAAGTTAATGATCTTCCAACTTGTACGGTGAACCTTACTTTTATCTTTCTTAAACCAAACAGGCCCCAAAACATTGGCCTCAACACATTAGCCACTAGGCCACAACCTGCCAAAATCATGGACAGAACTCTTAATGAAAATGCATACTTGGAGAGCATTTTCCTAAACATTGTAGCCATAACAATTCTTTCCTCCCCCTCCCCCTGGAATTAGTGAAAAAAAAAAGCCTCATCCCTGGGAATAAGGAAGCAATGATGACCTGGGGGAGGGGGTTTTCTCTGTGTAAAGCTGTTGATTTGGAAATAGTTTTGTTGCATAGGGTAGTGTGCATTCACAAAAAACATTCTGTAGAAATTCTGTCAGGATTGTAGCCTGCATGCAGGCGCCTTGTATTTCCTTTGTTGGTCAAGCCACTTTTCTTTGAGCAACAATGGAAAAAAGAGAAGTCTACATGCAGGCTCGACCTGAAAAATTATTTTAATAAAATAGTTCTAAAATAGTTCTAAGTGTTTAAAAACTGAAACTGATGTTATCATGGGCATGTTATCATACTTGCCAGCATGATTTTACTCAAATGCAAAGTATTTTCAAGAAAAAGAAACTCAATAATATTATTTTGAGAAAGATAATAAAGAAATAATTAAAGACTCATGGCAGAATCATGATAGCCTGTGAGCAAGCTCTCCATTTCAAGCGAGCTGCAAGAGAACTTGCCAGCATCTTCTTTCGCATGCCGCTCTCACGTGACTTCTCATGACTTTCCCAAAGGGAGAGCTTGTTTGCAGGCGGGGATCTCAGAGCTGGCAGGTTACTCAGCTACATTTTCCCAGGGCTGTCATTAAGACTTTAAGTTGCTGGGTATATGTTATTACTAGGCAGGGAGTTGAGCAACTGGGGTCTTCTGTTGTCTATTAAAGTAGCTGGAAGTCATGCTCATAGTAGCCAGGGAAAATCTCCAGCCCTGGTTCCTAATGACAGCCATGTTTTCCCTTTTCACATTCAAACAGACAGTTTGTCTTAGTGAAAATATAATGTTTA